CAAAGCCTTGCTCAATATCTATGAGCATTTCAACAAAACTTGACAAGGATGGATGACGCAATTGTATTGATTCTAAATTATATAGGTCTATGATTGGTTCATTATTATATCTTACTATAAGTAGATTGGATATAATATTTAGTATGTCATTATATGCTAGATTTCAATCATCACATAGAGAATCATATTTACTTGCTATTAAAAATTTTTTAAATACCTTAAGGACACTCTTAACTTAAGATTATGGTATCCAAAAGGTTTATGTTTTGCTTTGCATGCTTATTTTGATGCAGATTTTAATGGTTGTAAAATTGATAGAAAGAGCATTTCTTGTACTTATTGATTGTATGGGAATATGCTCATATCATGGTTTTTAAGGAATAAAATAGTGTTGCTCAATCCACAATCGAAGCTAAATATGTAGCAATCAGTAAATGTTGTTCTCAAGTTTTACGAATTAAATAATAATTAGAGGATTTTAAAATTATTATGGATCATATTCCCATTAAATATGATAATACTAGTGCCATCAATCTCACTAAAAATCTAATTCAACATTCAAGAACTAAGCATATTGTAATTAGCCATCATTTTATGAGAAATCATGTTTAAAAGGGTGATATTATGCTTGAATATGTTGATACCTTGCATCAATTAGTTGATATTTTTATAAAACCTCTAGATAAAGATAGATTTTATACAATTAAAGGTGAACTTGGTTTGATGAATACTCTTTGAAATAAAATTCTTGATGGTATGATGAATGTTGATACCTTGTTTGATCAAATGTGTGTTTATCTAAACATATTTTGAAATCTTGTCTATGATTATATTTGTAATTACATGATGCATATTTGAATAGTTATGTTGCATGGTTTTAATTAAAATTTTTTTTCTACGGGTAAAACAATTGATCCCTCTTAGACCAGATTCGATTCGTTTTCTATCTAGTAGCTAAATTCAAATTGGAAATGTTAGGACTCGATCAATCCTTTTTGGACTTGATCGATTGATCCATGGCTTACCTAGGTTCGTCAAGTTCTTACCCAATCGATTGGGTTATAAACAACTCCCTTATATGCACTGTTTTGACCATTTAAAATCTGGACTCTTTTTTTTTCTTGGCCAACCATAGTCCCTTCTTTTTCTTTTCAAAACACTTCTCTTAAAACCCTAGGTATTCATGCTTCATTTTCTCTTAAAATTGGTCATTTTCAACCAAAATCTTTTACAAATTACTTCATATTTATTTGATTTCTTGCAAAATCTTTTTTAAAAATCCTTCAAATCATACAAAAATCTCCATTTATGCTTCTCACTCTAGGAATTTGATCCCTTTTTGTGCCTCTATTGAAACTACCTCATTCACTCAATTTTCTTGCCTTTCTTTAATATATTTTACTACTTGTCACTTACATTCACAAATTCCTTCCTATTTTCATTATTCCATTATTTTCATAGCACCTAAAACAAGACTTTCTCTTGCCACAAGGAGAATCCACCAAGGGAAGCTTTTAGTTTTTCAATAAAGCCTTCATTCAACCAATATTTCGAATATCCTACAGCAAAAGAGAGATATAAGACTCATTTTATTCATAGAAAAGTCAAACAATGAAGGGTAATCAATTTTAATTTTTTTCAGTTTATTGGATTTTCATATTTACATGCTTTTGAAATTTTGGTTGGATGAACTATTTTAGTTTGGATGACATTGTCTTTGATAATCTTATAAGGGTATTTTATAGTAATGCACACTATATTGAAGTTGATGGACATGAGAATAATATTATATTGATAAATTTAGGATATTTGTGATAGGTAAAAAAATAGTTGTGGACAAGAACTTGTTGGTTGAAACTTTCATGTTAGAAGATAATGGAGACAAACACTATATGAGACATGCTTAGATTGGCCCAAGATATTTTTGAGAATGATAATTTGAGGGTTGCTTTAACTTAGGCTTCTACATTGAACATGCATGATAGATTACTTCATCTTATCGTCACATATGTGTTAGCACCATTTGGAACCCAATACTCTATCATTAGGAAATAAGATTATTGATGGATAAATAAGATCAAACATGAGGGGAAACTCAATTTTGTACACTTCATTTTTAATGATATGTGAGGGTTGTTCAAAACAGTGACTACACCTTGGTACATGGGATAGGCATTAGCAATCTACTTAGGAAGGTAGGTATCAATATTAGAAGTATAGAGAGATTATGCTCGATCCTGTTAGTATTGTTGGAGTTCAAATACTTCATAGTATGAAATACACATAAAATATTGATGGGGTATGGATTAAGAAAAGTGAACTTGGAGTTGAGCATGAAAAAGAGCATGAGCTTCAAGATATTTCACAAGATATTCTTCTAGTCTACCATTTAATGCCCAAAGAACTTTGCGAATTCTTATGACTTAGATGAACAGTTTACACTCATTGGTTAGAGATATAAACTATAGATTGGAAAACATGAAACTAACCCAAAATGAGATGGTTTCACAAGTTCAACAAATTAAGACTGATATTGGACACATCCAGATTGCACAATAGCAAATGGAACAGTGTGTTCATCATTTTCCTTCTTAGCCTTTTCCACCTTGACCTATCCTAAGAGCCAAGCTTAAATGTTTTTCCTACATGTCTTTCTTTTATGTTTTAAAGTTTTTAACTTACTTCAAGACATTTTAATTGTAGTATCAACTTTGGTACTTTGCATATTATGGCATTAACTTTAAGTTTATTGTACCTATTTGTGTTGCTATGGTAATGCCATTGTGGTCATTCTTATTCTTGATATTATGATGCTATATTGAGTTATAGTATTGAGTTTCAATGATATTGGCCTTGTGTTGATTATCGTATTGTTGCCTTGCATTAATTGAGCAAATTGATCTTACATTGGCTATAGTATCGGTTCCTTGCTCTTTGATTATTTTTGCCATGACAAAAAAGAGGAGAAGTTAATATTGTGAAAATTTGCTTATTGCTAAGTTGTTATGTTGTTAGTTGATAAATTTTTAATTGCTAGGGAGACTTCTACCTTATATTTTTGATATGTTCATAATGAAAATTTGGCCATTTAATTTTGTTGATCTTGTTTAAATTTAGGGGAAGCTTTCTTAAAAGGAGAAAAATGTTTTCAAAGAAATTTTTTTTTACTATTGGTTTGCCATATAAAAAAGAGGAAGATGTTAGCCTTGAATTGATAAAACATTTTGAAATGATAAAACAAAAATTTACTAAACTTGAATTAAAATGATTTAAACTTAATTTGAATACTTTTTTAGCTTTTAATCCCATTAAAAATTTGTTCAAATTCATTTGGCATGGTTTAAAAATAGAATTGAGCAAAGTAACATAAAAGAGATCGATCCTTTAAGAGGATCGATTGATTTTTTTTATCAAAACGCTTTCTCATGCAAATTTCACAAAAACCAATCTATCCTTTCCTTGTATGGATCGATTGGTTCAAGGTTTTTAAAAACAGGATCCATCCTTTCATGAAGAGATTGATTGGTTTTTTACATGAAATGAAAACTTTGCTTTAGACTATAGGAAAGGATCGATCACCTAGACTAAGGGATTGATCATCTGAAAAAGAGATTGATTGGTATTTGATATAGATCGATTGTTTATGCATTTTCATACGTAAAATTGTTTGATTTTTAACTGACCCAATTGATCCAATCAATCCCCCTTAAGAGGGGATCGATCCCCTTGTGCCTAGAATGCATGCAATGACTATTTTTGTCTGAAATTTTGCAAAAGCTCCAAACAATAAATGTAACTAATGGCTATCTTCCACTTTCAACATATAAATGAAGGTCTCCCACCATATTTGAAGCAACTTAGAGCCAAAAAAACTTATTGTATTTATCTACTATATTCTCCAAGAATTAAAGAGCATCTTACTGTAAGAAAAGTGCAAAAATTCTTGTTATGCCTAATTTTTTCTTGATATTCTTCTCAATTTTAATTTGTATTTCAAATTAGTAAACACCGAATCTTAGAGAGGTTCTTTGAATTTGCAAAACACTTCAAAAATTTGTATTGTGAGGTTATGAGTTTAAGGGGGAATATAACACTTAAGAGATTAAGTTGTTGATTGTATACAGCTTCGAAGAGTTAGGTTGTAATTTTCAATACATAGTGGATTACACTCTTTGGCAAGTAAGGCTAAGGGAGATGATGTAAGTGCTTAAAAAAAATTCAAACCTCTATAAATTTTGATGTTTAATTTTTTATGTTAATCTCTTACTTTTAAGATTATTAGTACTCATATTTGTTATGTTTATTTAATTAGAAAATTAGTTTGTGAATTTTGTGCTTGTTGGATACTAATTTTTGAAAATTTTATTATCAATCAATTATCTCTCTCTTAATTTAATTTAAATATTTGAGCTAACAATCTTAAAATTTAAATAAGATTATATAGATCCCAAAATGAAGCGTAAATTATTGTCCTCGTATTAATAAATTTTAATGTATAGATAGATATATGGCTGGCTGCTATCATGTTACTCTAGGTGCTTATGCCCTTAGCAGGATTTAAGATGTGATTTTCGATTAGCAAAGTTCTCTTCTCCTCTTTCATTGCATCTGCACAGCCATCTTTTCTTTTAGCTTCCAGTGGATTAATTTGCACTACTGCCTACTGCTAGAGCCTCCAGTATCGACCTTTGTAACCAAAAGCGTACTTGGGGTACATACATAACATCCACCTAAGATTTTGCCTAAGGGACATGTATTTTATTTTAGAGGCTAACTTTGTGAAATGAGAAGGATCTATGAAGTAAAAAAATCACTAAAAAACCACAATTTTATTTTAAAGGCTAATCTCGTCGTGGGGCCATGGAGAATCAAAGCCCATTGCCCCATTTGAGGCAAGAGGGTAGAAAACAAAGCCAGCCCAGCCGTCTCAGTTAGGCATTGGAAAAACGAAACCAATGGCTGGCTGGCTGGCTGGCTGGCGCCTATAAATAAAAATAAAATAGCCACTTCCAAGAAACGCTTCCCTCTCCCATCAATCTCCATTTGCTTTCATATTTCTCAGATCTACATTCACTCGAGAGGCTGCGGAAGACATTTTCATTTCTATTTTACTCCTAATTTATTCACAAAATTCACTTTTTTTTTTCTATTGTGATCTAAAAATTCATGGCTGGGACTGTAGAGATCGAAACAGCGTCGCCGAACGTGAAGGGGAAGATGGAGATCCTGACGGATGACTTCGATCCCACGGCTGTGGCAGTGGAACCGTTGCCTCCGGTTGTTACGGTAACCAACGTTGGGCCCAGCGAATCTGAGGAGGAGGAAGATGAAGGCGTGAAGAAGCCGACGAAGAAAGGCAGGGAGATTGTGTTGGGAAGGAATGTGCACACCACGTGCCTGGCCGTTACGGAGCCAGAAGCTAACGATGAGTTCACCGGTGACAAGGAGGCTTACATGGCTGGCGTCTTGGCCCGATATCGCAAAAACCTCATGGAGCGGACCAAGCACCATTTGGGTAAAAAAAAAAAAAAAACAAAAAATTACTAATTTCTTAAATATTTAATGCAAGCTGTTAATTTGAGTTAATTTTCTGTCTAATTCAGAGATCACAAAGAAAAGGGTACTGTGCCTTTAAGTTTATAAATAGTGAAACGAAGTGAGTTAATCGTTGTTTTTGTTTCTTAATGGAGTACTTGTGAATTGAAAGATCTTAAATTTACGTTGCCTTTGGTTGTACTTTGGATATTAACATAATTTTTCTATAAAATGGTAAAACCAACTAAAAATGAAACACCTATTTTAACATAATTGTTCTATAAAATGGCAAAATCATGCATTTTGTTCTAAAAGAAAGAAACATATTTTTACCGTTAGTTTTCCAAAAGTTGCATTTACTTCTGTATCCAAATGCAGTTTTTTTATTTTATTTTCCTTGCACCAACAAAAAAACAATAACCATATGGTACCTTAATTTTCCTATGTCTTCTACTTAAATTGATCGTCCTGTACACTTTCACTGGGGCCTTGAAATTTATGGGCTGTTGATCGAAGTGCAACCTTTCAGGCTATCCTTATAACCTGGACTTCGATTACGGTGCACTAGCTCAGTTACAGCATTTCTCCATCAACAATCTTGGAGATCCGTTTATTGAGAGCAACTATGGAGTTCATTCAAGGCAGTTTGAAGTTGGTGTGTTGGATTGGTTTGCCCGTTTGTGGGAAATAGAGAAAAACGAATATTGGGGTTACATTACAAATTGTGGCACAGAAGGCAATCTTCATGGAATTTTAGTTGGGTTAGTGCTTGTTTAAAATTTGGTTACATTTCAAACATTGTAATCTTATTTTAATTGAAATGTGGAAATGAGCGATGATTGAATTTTGCAGGAGGGAAGTGTTTCCAGATGGTATTTTGTACGCATCAAGGGAGTCACATTACTCCGTCTTTAAAGCAGCACGAATGTATCGAATGGAGTGTGTGAAGGTTGATACTCTGATCTCGGGTGAGATTGATTGCAGTGATTTCAGAGTTAAGTTGCTTGCTAACAAGGATAAACCAGCGATACTCAATGTTAACATAGGTCTCTCTCTCTCTCTCTCTTGCATATTCATAGGTAACTGGATCATGACAATAAAAAGTCATTTTTTTTGTTGAAATGAGAGAGATAACTTGGTTGATAATGTTACTGCAGGAACAACTGTCAAAGGAGCTGTAGATGACGTTGATCTTGTGATACAAACCCTCGAAGAATGTGGATTTTCACATGATAGGTTCTACATTCATTGTGATGGAGCTTTGTTTGGACTCATGATGCCTTTTGTCAGACGGGTAAGTTTATCACATGTATAGCTTTTGCTTACACGTGGATTTGATGGAAGATAGCCAAGCTCAGTTGTCCCCTAACCTTTCCATCACACATAATTGTTAGGCATGAGCAGACTGCTTTTGTTCTGCCACTTTATAATTTTTTCACTAACAAGTTGTAGAATGTAAAATGATATGTGTTTCCCCTGGATTTGACTATAAAAAACTCAATTAGCCTATAATTAGGGCTAGATGAAGTAAATCAGGTCTTGGCCTTAAGAACAGAGATAAAGTACCATAAAAGTCTTTTAGCACTGTTTATGGTCTGTCTATATACTGGTTCTTAGATTACTAAGACTGTAGTTTTCCCTAATGTAGGTCAGCAGGACAAATTATGTGATTTCTTTTCCTGCTTTGGGTGAAACACTGCTAACCTCTTAATGCGTCTTCATGTTTGTGCATGACATAAAAAGGAATGAACATGGTTATTAAGCTTGTATCTTGTCTGCAAGTAAATGATGAGTTTGTGCATGATATTATAAGTTTGTTTCTCAAACTCTTATATTACTATGTTACTTTTATCCTTTCTTGTGGATATGTCTTTACCTCTTAAGCTTGATACCATTCTTGGTGGTGATCAGGCACCGAAGGTTACTTTCAAGAAGCCCATTGGAAGTGTGAGTGTTTCAGGCCACAAGTTTGTAGGTTGTCCAATGCCTTGTGGTGTTCAGATCACAAGGATGGCGCACATCAATGTCCTCTCAAGCAATGTTGAATATCTTGCATCAAGGGATGCTACGATAATGGGAAGTCGCAATGGTCATGCTCCTATTTTCCTTTGGTATACTCTCAACAGAAAAGGTTACAAAGGATTTCAAAAAGAAGTTCAGAAGTGCCTCAGAAATGCTCACTACTTGAAGGACCAACTGCGCGGGGCTGGGATCAGTGCTATGCTAAATGAACTCAGCAGTACAGTTGTGTTTGAGCGGCCCTGGGATGAGGAATTTGTTCGTAGGTGGCAACTTGCTTGTGAAGGGAATATAGCACATGTGGTGGTGATGCCTAATGTGACCATCCAGAAGCTTGATGACTTCTTGAATGAATTAGTTGAAAACCGATCAACTTGGTGTCAGAAAGGACATGGTCAGCCTCCTTGTGTTGCAGCAGATATAGGGAAAGAGAATTGTGTTTGCACTCTGCACAAGTGACAAAATGACTTTTTATCATGATTCTGAGTTATTCCTTTGTTTGCTTGTAGCTTGACATTTGATTTTAGTGGAATCTAGATTTGATGCAGAAGTTTTTCCTTTTACTATAAGGATTTTGCATTATTCCTCCGTTGCTTGCATGTATCGTGTAAATAAATAGCAATGCCTAGCAAATTTCTTGTCTGTTGAATGCTGCTTTGTGTCTAGTAGCTATCCATCCCAGATGCGCTTCGAAATAGCACAGCCTATGGTCTGTCTGTGCATTATCAAGAGATTATCGTTTCTTTTCCAGAGGCTCATCATTACAAGTATACTAACAAAGCTATGTTTTATTTGAGCAAGATGCATACACTCGAAACAAAGTGCAGTACTTAAAAATTTAGCAACATGACATGAAGTTCTGTTGCAAAATTTATTCTTAATTTATTCTCTTAATTTCGATCTCTTGGTTTGTTTTTTTCTTGGGTGAGATTTATCTTCTGTTCTTGACTTCATGCATTAAAAAATTTCCCGTCTTGCTTCTGTTTTCTTCATTCTTGATTGCAGTAGGAAAAGCTTCACAGCCGCTCAACCATAATAGGATACTTGTTTTTGGGCATACGAACAAGTGTTGGCTGCACAGAATCATCTCTCTCCAGTGGTTTCCACCTGTGGTACAGAATAGAGATTACATTGTTATAATTCAGACACAACTCTGTAAAGAACATAATGAATAATGATTATTCAACTCTATCTCAAATTGTTTAGTTAATTATTTAGTGCTTTGTGTATTTCATCTCACTTATATCTGCAGACCAGGTGATGGATGAAGATGCAGATTTCCAGTTTAGCCAAGTTCATTCCAGGGCACATTCGTGGTCCACTGCCAAATCCCAGAAAGCTGAAAGGCTTCAGCGGTGCCTGCGATTGAATGGTAGATTTATTTAAGCATCCCTCTGAGAAGAAAAGAAACTTATACTGCTGATTGCTTACATCAAATCTGGAAGGATCAAACTTTTGAGGATCGGGGAAAGTTTCAGGGTCGTGGTGGATGGAAACAACATCCAGGTTAACTGACCAGCCCTTCTTGATGTTGTAGCCTGGAAATTAAGTTAAAAAAGTAATTAGCAATCTGTTACCAAAGTCATATTTCTGCTGGAAATATATGAACTTGCTGTTCATTTGGTACAGTCATTCTAATACCATCAATCTCGAAGTCCTGTGCAGCTTTTCTTGAAAACCATGGCAATATTGTCGCCCTTCGGAGAGTTTCACTAATTACCTGAATTTCAGTGTGAAAGTGTTAATAACAGTGATCTTCCAACAAATGGACTGGTAGTATTTAAGCAAATAACTAATTAAGCTGATGTTAGAATGTGACCATCACTCTAAAAACTATGGAGATTTATACATAATAATTAAATTATTACATTTGATAAGTACTTAATAATTTTATACGACGGTGATTTTAAATTATTGAAAAGTCAAAATATTGTTTTCGAGGGTGATGTAATTTTCATAAAAAAATTGAAAAACTTTTATAATCGAAGTAAAGTGATATATAAAATTATTTATTTAATATGTGAATTAAAAATTTATTACATCTTAAAATTATAATTATTTTATATTATAAATTTTTATATTTTTAAATTAATATTCATTATATCAAGTTCAAAAATAATTTATCGATCTTTTCAAAAATATTTTATATATAAATATAATTTTTATTATGAATTTAATAGATTAATTTTATTTTCTATTTCAAATATATTTTTACAAACTTTATGTTATAAAAATTAATTTATCTATCAATAAATATATTTAGTAATTTAATAATATGTTATTATAAAATAAATAAATATTATTAATAATTTATAAATTATTATCTTTAAACAACCTTACAATTATTAATTTGTATAATTATTATAATATAAATAGTTATTTTCATGTATTTAAATATAATAATATTTGATTTTTAATAGTATTAAATTTTTAATTCTTAAAAATTAATAATTGTTAACCAAGTAAAGTATTTCAAATTAGAAATGTGAAATCACGTTGATTATAAGATCACTTTAATAATTACATTAACAGATCTTATAAAAGATACTAAACACTACAAAAAGTTGTTGCTTACTTTGGCGGTGTAAGGCATATTATTAACTTCCAACCATGTAAAATTTGTTCCATCCTTTCTATTTGCTTGAATTTCCCGGTGCTCCGCCTGCAAAGCCACAGCCAGATTCTAGTTTTTAAAAATGTCCATTGGAATAAATTACAATTAGTTTGAACAACATCGAGTAAACATTACTCTAAGCTGCTCCAAAACTACTTGATTTTCTCCAAGGAATTTGATGAGCCATGTAAGAGCTGCGGTTGTGGTGTCATGACCGGCAACTAGCAGAGTTAAGATATTGTCCTTCATTTGTTTATCAGTGAGTTTATCTTCATCATCTCTTGTATCTGTTCCCCTGCTATGTTTTATTATCAAGGATTCCAGGAAATCTTGTTGGATCACTTCCCCGTTTCTCCTCCTTGCTATTATTGAGTCTATCATGGCATACATTCTATCCCGGGCCTGATAAGATGGAAAATCATATCAGAGAATATACGGGAACTCGGTTTACATTCAGGCACGAGTGCCTTTTTGTTGTCATTTCAAGAACAAGAGACAATTTCAATTGAGTTTAATCTTATGATGTCTTATGGTGATTTTATAACCTAGAATAATGATACCTTGATACCGCGATAAAAAGCTGTTCCTGGGAGTTTAAAAGGCAAGGAAGCAAATGAAGAAGAAATGAGTTTGAAATTGGCCCTAAACTTTTCCTGCTCCTCACCGCTGGGTTCAAGGCTCATTATCATGTTGCCTATTACTTTGAGAGTGAACTGCAAAATGCCAAGGATTCAGTTCTCTTTCCAGATAAAAATTAACATCAGGAATTTGGTTTTACCATAACGAAAACTCAACTGAAGAAGCCTCTTCAAGGACTAATACTTTTCGTCCAGGCCATTGATCTAGTGTTTCAATTGCCTGACTGTTGATGAAGTGGAAGTACTTTTTCAAACCATCAATAGAGAGTGGTTCAGCTATCAACCGTCTAAGTCGCTTGTGTGCTTCTCCATTGGCTTGGAGCAAACTGGTTGGACCCAACACTTGCTGCCCTGTATAGAAGAGGTTTAAGCTCACCATCCCATCTTTACCTGTCAACAGAATTTTGCTTGCTTCTCTGCCAGTCATGAAGACGGTGAATCTTCCCAAAACAAAGCTCTTGAACACTTTTCCATATCTGTTGAAAGTCCGTATTAGCAGATACATAAAAACATAAAAAAAAATCATTTCATTTGGTTACATACCAAAATTTATTTGATTACCTGTGCTGCCTCTTGTTCATAAAACTGAATATACCAGATGGGCTAGAAAAGTCTGACAGAAATGACAAACTTTCACCTATTATAGGCCAACCCAAGCTACCAGGGATCTCCTCCATTGCTTTTGGTGAAGTCCATATATTCAGTAAGCGGAAAGCTGATAACACAAATATGAACAGGAGTAACATGATCAAAAAGATGCTTAGATCCATTTCAGATATAGTCTTCAATGTCCTGCTTGTTGCAGTAATCTATGGCTGCGTAGTATATCAAGGGTTTAATAAGGGGATCGATACCTTGGAATGAGTGGTGACAGCCATAGCTTTGTAGTTTTAACAATTTTAAAAAATTATATAGCAATCACTTGGCTCTCAACGAGGCTCCAATGAAAATGATTCTTTCTTGTCTAAGCGTTGTAAATGTCAAAAAACCACTCTTTTCTTATAAGATTTATCAATTGTTTTGGTCTACATCTTCTAATAGGTTAGCTGCTCCCCTTATTCTTTGATGAACCAATCTCTTTCTTGGATCTTGTCAACGTATGAGGCAAAAGGAAATGTCAAAAAAAGGAATAAAACAAATTCTAACTCTGTATATAGATTAAAATTTTAAAGATACCCATTACTCTTATGATCCTTTGGTTTTTCCTCCAGATCTAAAGAATTTATGATTGCTAATAAACTGGTGTCGTTTTCCCTCCATGCTGAGCTGAGTGTGACCCACTGACCCTTAGCCTTTGTAGTGAATAGTGATAATTTGCTTGCCGACCTGAGGCTTGCCCTTTTTTGGGCGTAGTTAACAGATTCAGACAAAGGCATTTTCATTCAATATTGGGAGATGCAGAAGACAGCAATTCCCTTCTAAAGCACTGTTGTCATTGGTTTGACAAGCTGTTATCAGCTCCGCAGTGCTTGCAAAAGATTGACAACTCGATCAAGAGAGATGGGCAACTATGTACTTGCATTAATAGCCCCTGTGTCATGCTTTTAGAGAAAAAATCAAGTATTCATTCTATTTCAATTTACAAAGTATCTTTTAAAATAAAATTATAAAATTAAATAAATAAAAACAGATAATATTTTACAAGTTAACAAATACCTTATAAGTTGATATAAACTGTAATAACATGACTTAAGCTAAACATCAATTTATTCTGTTTTCCGAGATAAAAGAGAGAATGCATCAACTAGTTTTGATAATAACTTGAAAGAAAGAAAGTTTAAATCATTGAAGATGTAATCCCAACAATCGGAAGGAAAGTTTGGAAGTTAAAGTTTAGGGTATAAGTTTTAAGGGATTGCTCTTGTTCTCTTTTGCAGTGAGTATACATTTACGTGTAAATACTTGATGGTTGTATGATTTTGAGCTTTTGACTCAGACATCAAATTTTTAATCAAAGTGGATGGAAACTAATTGAAATGCTTTGCTTCCTAATAATATGCTGAAAATAACTAACAAACGCTTATTTCTTCCGTCATAGAAAACGTAAATTATAGTCCATTTATAGTTTCAAAATGGAAAACATTACACCGAACTTGGGCAAAAGGTGTTACTTACATGGCCATAGATCAGATTAAGGTATTTTAGCTTATGCTTAAGAATCAAATGTCTTCTTGTCACAAATATCAATCGTGTGTCTTGTTTTCAATGAAACTATGCCTTTAATTTTTTCAATAAATTTTGCTAAGGTGATTTATTTTCCATAAATCAATGGTTTGCTATCAATTTTATAAGGTTTTTTTTTTTTTTTTATGCAAAAAATCCACAATTATGTCAACTGCAAAATATATTATTTATGTTGCTGTTAATCATGATAGAATAATAAATTAATCAACTACTCGACCAGAACTTCATTATATTCCGTACACTACCTTCCCCTGAGAAATATTGTGTAATATAAATTCGAGTTTCTAAAACTTTTATCTTTTTAGCTGTTTTCTTTCTCCTAATTTAGTATTTAATTAGTTTATTACTCTCATTATTAGGATAAACATAAGTAATATGCTCTATAATTATCACAATTATAAATTTTCTGCGTCAAAAAATTTATAAAATTGATAACAAATCATTGATTCACAGAAAAAAAAGTTATTGTATTAAAGTTTGCTTAAATAAATTATTATAATAAAAAAACATAATTCCATAAAAATCAAATCATATGTTTAACGTTTATAACAAGAAAACACTTGATTATTGACCATCGACTAAAAATACTTGATCTTAATTTATGAATCGCTTACATTTGATAATTGAAGGTCAATAATCCTTGATCTCTTGGTACTAAAATCTTTTCTTCCTTTTTTTTTTTTCCTTCATATAAATAATCACCTGACATGAGCTCCTATCTTTTAGGCTGCTCTGGAGTTACACCAATCAGCATCGATACTCTTGCTCTCCTTCTTCTGTATAAAAGAGGTTGTTGAACTCAAATCTTTACAGTACTAATAACAATAATAATAATAATGTAATGTTATTCAAATATTGTATCCAAAAATCAGTAGGCCACGCACCTAAATGAATACAAAAAAATAAAATAAAATAGGAAGGGGCAGAAGAATGGACTGGGGAAGGTAATTATAAGAAGGTTTGAAAGTATAGACAGTGATTTATTCAAATACTTGCCCCCTTAGCCTGCAGTCATTCCTAATGTACCAAAAACAAGTGTTTTGGTCAAAGTGTGTCCATCGGTGTGCAAAAATATTTGGGGTGTCCTTTCCTTGGACATCAAAGTCATATACCATCTCCAGAGGATAATTATTCTATAAAAATAAAGATTAGTTACAACATCATCTAGCCATCAATTATGCAACAGAATTAGGACCTATTTTCTCTAAAAAACACATTTAAATTCATTTCTGCTCTAATGGTGATAAAGCCATATCTGAAACTGATGCAAAGGGACTGATCCTAGCAACACTCTTTCATAACTTTAACCTATATATTTCTATGTACAAGATGCTACCTTCAATGAATTTTCTTAGATTTTCCAAGTAATAGATTCCAACATGAAACTAAGCCCTCTGGTTAAAATTCATGAAGTGGGGTTGAGGCTGTCCATTGAGAGTTTGATTGTTGGTGGATGACTGAGGCATCTGTTGCTGCTGTTGGGTCTGGTGGTCTCCAAAGTGATGTGGAGCAGGTTGGTGCAGTAAAAATTGAGTAGGTAGTCCTCTATTGAAAGGATTACCATTCATAGCTGACATTTGGCCAGCTTGTATCTTAAGCCGTTGCAATTCTTCCCTCAATGCTTCATGCAGAGCTGCAAATGATAGAAAACTAAATATCTTCAAATCCTAAGTTGTTAACTATCTGGACCAACTTGATAACCTAGTAGGAATTGGTTATGTTAAAAAATGGCATTATGACATTATTTATTATGGGGCATCCCAAAACCATAAGGAAACAAAAATGTGGCATGTTCTTTTCCATGCTATCTTAATCAAGTCCTTTTGTACACCTCTAAATTTACTATTTAACTGTGCCATGCTCTTTTACATGCCGTATTAACTAAGTCCTTTTCTTTACACTTCAAAATTTATGATTTATTTCAAAAACTTATGAAATGCATTGGATGCAATCACTTAACTGTGAAATGGCACAATTTTAATGGTTTTACCAACTCCTTCATAACTGATGAATGACTATAAAAATGCAATTACTTCATTTATGATGCTCCCAGTCACGATTAGTACAATTGCAGTATGAGGTACAAAAATGAATAAAAAGCATGCATACCATCTCTAAGCTGTGCTTGTTGCTCAATAGCCTGCAGCCGTAGTTTGAGTTCCTTATTCTCAGTAGTCAACCCAGTAGTGTTTCTCTGCATCATAGAAGAAATATATTAGAACTGGTTCCCTTCATTTTGGGTGCACTAAAACAAATATCAAAGCCTCAAAGATGAAAAACAGGTGCTTCCAGGTTAGCAGATTCAGCAGAAATAACTCAACAGGACTCTAGAAATACAGTCATATCCTTAGGTGCAAGATAACTAAGCAGTCAAAGTGACAACCACATCAGATAAATTATGCAAACTAGACAACGCAAATAGGCAAAACACAAAGGCAAGGAATCTGCAAAAGCAACTAGCAAAATGATCAGCAAACCATCAATGAACAATTTTAGACATAGACATGAGTATTGTCACATCAACCAAAGAAAGCCATGAAAGTGTACACATGCATGCCCTTCATTCTTAAAATAGCACATTGACTAGATTAATATCTTATGAATGTAGAACTGGATAAGTAACATATGAGGGACAAAAAACAGTTGATTGAAGGATCAAGTTAATAGGGATTTTATAGTATTACTAGAATTATATATTTCAGAATATTTAAAGTTATTTTAGCTTGATTCCCAAGTATCAGGGCTTAGGAAGTAGCCAAGAAGTACTTGTCTCATTTCAGTTTCCAGTAGCTTAGGGTCAATGAGAAATTATGAACTGAGATTTTTCCCAGGCTATCTCTTTTCCTTCTGTTGTTTCTAGATTTCTCTCAGGAGATTTTTCTGTTTATTTCTTTTCTTTTTTTTTTGTCTGATTTCCCTTTATTTACTTGTTTCTTCCTCTTTCTGCTACCATCTATAACTGATCATCTATGAACTCCAATAAGAAGACACACTGACATGCTTGATAACAACCAGTAATATATGGAAAATAAAGTGGAAATTTCCGAATACTTGATTGTAACAAACTTTAAGAAGTTAAAGGAGGTAGAAAAGATCAAAGTAATGAGAATATCTCTTTAAACTAAATTCCTCTGAAAGACAACATAATTAAAACTGCAGGAGTTTATCCATGGGCTGAAAATTTGACCAACCCAACCTCTTAGAGATCTCGTGGCATACATATGGCCTATATGGTGGTAGCAGAACCAAAGGTTGAATATGGAACAGTTGAAAAGCTATAAAAAAAAAAGAAGAATTATGCCTTCCCCTTATTCATAGGCAGGATTAAAGAAAGTGCTAGCATCTAATAAGACATAAATCCACCTCAAGATTGTTTAATACTATTTTCCACTTATATATGCAGCGATACACCCTAAAAGCATTAAAAAGCATAAAAAATCCTAAGTACTAAGGTTTTATTACTAAAGACAACAGATCATTTGCCTAGTAATACACCTATGTTACTTAGTTCTCATTTTCCCTAGAATATCCCCATTGAACACACGGATTCAGAATAGAGCTGGACATCAGCCATTGAGGATCTGGCCCTCTTAATATATGGAAAAACTCTTAAAAACTAGAATTTACCTACGTTGGACACATCCCATGTCCAGAAGTAGTGTCCCAGTCCAAGCAATGTAGGCATACACCCTCTAATACCAAAGTATTGGATATGATGAACTGATAGGTCGAGACAAACAAATTGAAGCATGGAAAATGATTCCTAAAGAATGAGATAGAAAAAGGTCACAAGAATTACAAGGTTGACATCACAATGCCAAAAATTTCAACGCTGCTACAAGAATGTCTCAAATGTTTCTATAACACAACTAATTCAGCATCCATAATGATTTTTTCCCCATCTTATTCAAGGATTGATCAATGATTGTTATATAAGGCAATTAAGTGTGTCAGAAATACAATTGTAAAATAAAACACACACTGGAACTTCTCAAGAAGATGCAATGTGGCTAAAGATACTGGCAACATTAATTAGATCAGACGAAGCAATACAAGGCCTTTATTACATTAAACCCTTCTTCCAGTGAAGAGAATTCTATGCATCGATACAACAAAGAAGTATTATGGAAGTTGAAAACAGTCTCAGAAAGATTTTCCTCTTAAATCCAAGTTGATTTGGGGGATTTTGTTTTTGATGAAAACTACTACTTATTATAGAGAACTATGAGTTTTTTTTGAAATAACAGTAAATTAAATAAAGTCCTAAAATAAAATGGGTAAAGTCTCCAACAATTATTCTGATGATCACATATGTAACTTGACCTATAAATGAATATGCAAGCATCAGATTTATGCTAATAATAATAATAATAATAATAATAATAATAATAATAATAATAATAATAATAATAATAATAAAATTCCAACCGGTAGCTAGTTGCAGATTTAATTAAGATACAATAGCGAAGAGCAGTCTTTGACTTTGGAATTCGAAAACCGTGTATAAATGATCGAGGAATTATATTATAACGAAGAAAATAACAAAAGAAAAAAATTTTGAATACATGAACCTGGAAAGTTGATATTCTAGAAAGGAGCAATGGATCTCATTTTGGAGTTGTAATCTGTAAAGCTAAGGCATAAAATGCCTTTACCTGTAGCACTGTGACCTGTGCGGAGAGATTGGTAGCTTCTGTCTGAAGAGTCTGCACTTTCTTCTCCAGCTCATTCGTGTATCGAATCTTCCTCTCCTTTGATCGCGCAGCCGATTGCCTGTTAGCCAGAATCCTACAGCACAAAACAAAATTTCACATAATTTAATTTAAAAACAAAGTAGTAGCAAAAAAAAGAGACTATAAGGGGAAAAAGAATCCACCTTTTAGCTCTCTTGGGATCAATAAGGGCAAGTTCAGCAAGTCTATCAGGAGCCATAGCCTTCTTAATACCGTCAACGGCCATCAAAGACTCAATCTCAAACGAAGCCGTAGTCGACCCATCCATCGAGTTACTATGCCTATGGTGAACCCTCTTCTCTCCCACCCTTCCTTTCTCGCTAAATTTTTCATCTCCAGCTCCTCCGGAAATCGCGGGTCCAGTCAACCCGAGTCCTTCGAAGAAATCAGAGTCAACAGAAAGACTACGGATATGCTTAGGGTTATTGTGGGAGGAGCGAGGAAGACCGCTGGATGAGGAGTCGTCGGAGGAATGTGCGGGAACCGGTATGACAGGTGGCAGAGTGGGATTGGAGGAGGAAGCCGGGAGGTCAAGGTAGGAAAGATCGAGGTCGGACGGGTCAAAGAGGAGAAGATCGTCGAAACGGAAAGTTGTGTCGGAGAGTGCCCGCCTGTGGTGAGCTCCACGTGGAGGCATTTGGTCTATCTCTACCGTTAGCTTTTGCTCCATATTTTTTGTAGAAATAAGCGGAGGAAACGGCAGCAGCGAAGGCAGTGGTGGTTCGGTGGAGTAGATTATTTCTATTATTATTATTATGAAATGAAATGAGTTTTGAAGTTGTGAGAAATACAAGCGGGTTGAGAGCTTAACAAGATATAAGTGGCGAAGAGAGGGGTTTGGTTGAAATACAGCTATATCCACACAAACAGCGTTGAACTAATTTTTTTAATAAAAAACTAATAAAACTCTTTATTTATTAGTTTATTTAGTTTTTTTAGTTAACTTCATAAATATATCTTGTAATTAAAATTGAAATAAAAATACTTATTTAAAACGTGACACTTAATTATTTTACAATTTATTTTATTATTTTTTACCTAAAATCATTATTTTTTTTCTTCTTTTTCTTTATCTAAATTTATACTATCTCTAAAAATTCTTACTTTCTTTTTCTAAAAATTTATTTTTTCTTTCTAAACTCAAACCAATCTACAACAACAACTTTTAAACCATTAGAAAATATCTGTTTTACTATAACAAACAAAAAAATCAAATTTCATAGCACAAACAATAAAGAATTCACCAATAAAACCTCAAAAGAACAACTTAGAAATAAAATTAGAATTTCAACAAACAGCCTCAAAAAAAAATTCACAATTAGAAATTTTATCACAAAAATCATAAATTATGCCCAGGCAAGAAAATTCTAAAATGGTAATAAATTGTTTTTAGTGCTTTGATCTAGGCTTGTGTTGAAAACTTAGAAAATTTTAAAAGAGAAAAAAGAGAAAGAGAGAAGAATATGATTTACTTAGGATTTTTGAAAATTGTTGAATAGCACATAGTAGGTGGACAACAAAAAGTGAGTGGTAAATCAACACTAATTTCTGGGTTGATAATTTTTTGTTTAAGGTTTGGAAGTTTAAAGAGGGGGAAATATGAAGAGTTTTCGGCATTGTAAAAGGTGGCCAATGGGTGATTGCCTATGGTGTCATATGGAGGTGACAAGGGCAGAAGGCTATTGGTTATTGGGTTTTGTTCTTGTCTATTGAAAGCTAAGAATTAGAGAAAAATTCGAATGTTGATTGCAGAGAGAAAAGCTTAGAATAGAAGGTTGTGGATTTTGAAGCTTTAAATTTCTATAAAACGTGCCACTTTGGGGCTAAAGAAAAAACAAAATTGGAGTGATCACTCACATGAAATCTAGAGGTGATGTAAACTTATAATGGTGGTAGTGGTGTAGAGATTCTAGTAGTTTGAAAGTTGTTGTTTGTGGATTGGTCTGGATTTAAAAAGAGAATTGATTTGGTTTTAAAGAGAGATAATAACTTTTTAGATAAAGATATGAATTCAGATGAAGAAGAAGGAAAAAAAATAAAAAAGTAACAATTTTGGGTAAAAAAATAATAAAACAAATCATAAGATAGTTAAGAATTATATTTTAAACTTTAGGAGACACTTTCACTTTGGCTTTAATCACAGGGTGTATTTATGAAGTTTACCCTAATTATTTTTAATTTTAAGAATACTTAAAAATCTGGAAAGAAAAAAGAGTACTTACCAAAATACTAGTAATATTTTTGGAGAAAAATTTCATTAAATATTAAAATACATGTTTATAAAGTTAAAAATTAAAAAAAAAGTAAAAAAAATATTTTTAAAAAGAGATAATTTTTTAAAAATTACATCCGATAATTAGAACATTTGTTATAGCAATATATTTATTGTCTAAAGAAACAATATTGAAGGGAGACAAAACCATAATACAAAAAATAGGAACTTTGAGATAGAAGGAAAACATATTGTTATTCCCCTTGGATTTTTGTACATTTTGTTTTCTTGCCATTGCTTTGAAATTTCTTTCTTTTAAATCGAAAAAAAGAAATTATTGAAAGCAATTCCATATGGCCAAAAAAAAGAAAAAACTAGTTCCATTCAGTCTATATTTTACACCACACATATTCTAAAGATAACAAAAAATAAAAAAAATAAAAAATAGAAGTGAGAGGATATATTAGATTACGTAATATATGCATTTAAATTATATTTATTTTATAAAAAATAAAAAATAAAATTATTATATTAAGTTTATGTTGAATGTTAAATATTTAAATATTTCTTTTAATTTTTGTTAACTTTATACGTAATTTTTATTAAAAATTTAAATTATATAATTTTTATATTTTTATATTTAAAATTATTAGGTTTTATTTTTAAAAAATGTGATTGAAAATAACACTTGAATTTGACAAAAAAAATTGATTATTAATAAATTAATAAATAATTATAATGATTATGATAAGAATAAATTAATTATAAATAATAATTGTTTGTGTTAAGTGAACCACCATATGCCAATTGGCCTCTGCCTTACATTGTTGATCTTTATGTTGGTGACTGGTGAGTGTGTTGTCCACGAGCTTTAAAAAAGATATCTTGATGTGTTTGTAAGTAAAGAGTGATCCATTTTTTATATTACCTAGTGTTAGGATTTGGCTTTGCTCGATTTATTATAAGAATTTTTAGTATTTTATTGAATTTGATATTTGTTTGAATTAAAAGTTAGAGTGATATGAATAGTTAATATAAAGTCATAATTTAAGAAAAAATTAAGATTGTTAATTGTTCATTCTAGAAGAGTTAGACATTAAAGTTTATGAAGTAAAAATAAAACTTTCTTAAAGCAACTATAAAACTAAATAGAAAAAGTTAATCACACTTTTTTCAGTAACTGTACATAATAGTCAATTGTGATTTCAAAATGTTAATTGTACATTTATCTCTAGCTGAATGTCATAAGAAATCATGTGAGTAAAATAGTAAACTTATATGCAATTACTCTAAATTCTAAAGAAAGACACAATAAACATCAAGAAGTTGAAGATAATAGTATTTATGATGAGGACAGTCATTAAAGCTTGCTTTTTACCTAAAACATTATTGGCAATGATAGATGATGGAAAGTTCATATCCATGATAGACCATGTAAGTAGTAGGTTTTTTGTTTAAAAGAGACAAATTCTTTTCTGTTTTGTGGTATCCATTAAATCCCATTTTGAACAATAAAATTGTGGAAAGTTATGTAAGATTGATGCAAGTAGCATATGATTGAAGTACTGTTAATGGTTACTCAGTGATGGCCTTATTCATTACTAGTTTCGCCTAATCACCAATGATCTCCTCTGTTTGGCTATCTTTGACACCTTGTTTTAGGGTGACTACTGCTTCAGTGAACTTTCTTTCAGCCAAGTAATTGTCCACTCTATTGATTAAAGATTCAATCCTTTCACTAGGTTGGTCAACTTCCTTCACCTTAAAGATAATCAAAGGTAAGCATGAAATTATTTTAGTAATTTAGATTTACTATTATGTGAAAGGTAAATCTCATTCTTTTTATTCCTTTAAGCATGATGCAAAATGTGTTAAAGAATGCATCAAGATGCTACCACTATTAGGCAGAATTAGGTTGAAGTGCCTTAGGGTCCCTTTTAAGTCAATAAACTAGAAGGAAAAAAACGCATTCTGAGTAATGTAAAGCAAAACCAAACTATCATTTTGCAACTCACACAATACTTTACACAATTAAAAGTAGCAAAAGATGCATTACATTGTGTAACAAATTGGCAACATGCTTGATTTCCTAAATATATATCCATTTTTCAATTAATAGATAAAATTAAAATTCATTTATCTATGATTTTTCACATGAAACTTTGACAAACATGAATTTTTCAAGGAACTCAATTCAACAACTATAAATGGTTTAAATCAGTTCGTAATTTCTCTTCATCATGTGTATACATGAATAACAATAAACCTAAGGTTTCAATTGCACTTAATTATTTTTCATTTTTTTGTTCAATTAATATTTGTTTTTTTTTTTCATTTTTCCAGCAACGTTAGATTCATATTGCTTCAATAGACTAATCAATAAATGATAACACATTGAAAACAACAATTTCAAAAATATAAAAACAAAGACATTTTGCTTTATTGTTTATCCCATCAATGACTAGAACAATTATCATCATCCATTCAAGCACTGCATATATAACAAACAAATATCATAATCCATTCGGATCAACTTAGAGAAATCTTTATAATTGGTAACAAATATATTATTTTTCATTAAATTTCAGTAGGCAAACTTGTTAGTAATTAAAGACAATTACATAGCTAAATGAATAAGTTGAAAGATACAAATGCATAAATTCAAGCAAAAAGCAAAGCAAATAGAAAGAAAAGCATACTGTATAAGACATACAAAGGCCTAGCTCCATTTTAAGAGATGGAGAGCTAACTAATTTGACAATACTTATAATAAAAAAAATAAAGAAAACAATTAAAAATGTAAAAAATCAATCAATTAAGTTTGAAACAATTTTAGAATTCAAATTTTCTTGTTGTAATACCTGTAACAATACCAACAATAGAAAGGAAAAAAACAAATTAATAGCTAAAAAAAAAATCTTCCCAACCAAAGAGATCAAAATCAAATTAGAGTTGAAATTACTTTCAATCTGATAATATATTCTTCCTCATTTTCAACAAAAAATAGGTTGAATTTCTTGAGCTCATCTTCCAAAAGCTAAACAAAATCAGTCTCCTCTCTCAACATACTGTCACTGGTTGAAACATTTTATCTATCAATTCATAGTTGAAAAAAAATTATGAGATATCAACATGATGTGAACTGATTATTTATAATACTTAACTCATAAGTGAAAGAGGAAAAAGTGAAATCCATAATGTTTAAAGACCAAAAACATATTTCTAAAATAAAATAAAAGGGGCATTTTAAGACAAATGTGTTGCTTGTTATCTAAAGTTGAAATGAAATGCAGTAGTAGAATCTTTTTTCATTCGACAACATTTTTAGGAATCCATTTTCATTGAATGGCGGTGTTGGTGTTGACAATGACGATTTAAGTGATGGCCATTTTTGTTAAATTGGCTAATGAATGTTAAATCTAGAAAATTAAATACTAAAGATACATATGCAATGCCATTTTGAAGATGTACTTTAATACTACATTCTAAAAAAGAGACATGCTTGTCACAAGTATTTATTAGGTTGGAAAGAAAATGATATTAGAATTACCTTTATATCTTTTAATCTCTTTGGTGTCAATTGGTCTATTTTTAGCTATTTCTTTAATTATCTCTTGAATTATATATCAGTCCTAAAAACCTACAT